ACAATGTCATCAGCGTACCCTAAATCGCACAGCTTTTCTTCAGCTTCCCATTCAATACCTACGTTCTGGAGACCAGTAAGTGCGTTCTCCAGTACTTCGTCAATGACAAAATTGAACTGGAATGGCGAAATAGGGCACCGTTGACGGACACCGCTCCTGGTTTCGAACGATTTACTTAGCCCACCGTAGACCCTTACGCTACCAGAAGTATGCAGATACAACGACCGCAATAGGTTTGCACACTTCCGCGGCATTCCATTGCGCAGCAGCAATCCCAGAAGAGCTTCACGGTCAACTGAATAGAAGGCTTCTTTTAGTTCAAGGAAAACTGCGATTGTTCGCCGACAATGTGTGACGCAGTTCGAGGATTTGATGCGGAGTGAAGATTTGTTCGATGCACCCGCGACCTGGTTGGAATTCGGCTAATTGTTCGCGGATATTCCTCTCCCTTAAGGGTGTCAGACGGCGAAGTATCACAGAAGTCAACACTTTTGTGATTGGCCAAGGCAAACAGCTTCAATGGATCCAATAACGTCTGCGCCTTTCTGAGTGGCGCATTCACTGCCTCACATTCATCTTCTTCTTTGCGATGCTTAGCTTGATTCGAATAGAAAAGACTTGATGCAAATATGTTAAATAACCCACTTTTTTATCATCAAATTCTAAACATACGATTTCTTCTTCAAAAAGGGCCATCAATAGACACGTAATGAGTAAAGTTCTCGATGAAACCGCATTTTTCCTCTGGTGGCTGCATCATCGGCTGAATCAATGTGGATTTGAACCCAGCTTTCATGAAAGACATTGAAAAACCACATCATACCCTGATCCATTGGTTGTAACATTGCAGAACAGTTCGGAGGCAGTCGTATCACTTTGACGTTGGAGAATACTGCGGCTTGGTTATGGCAAGTGGCGTTGTCTGTCAATAGTAAAATAGAGCGCCTTTGCTAAACCATTTTGCGGTTGACATCGGACAGTCAACTGTAAAATAACGTAGAAGTCAATCATGCGTTCTTTGAAGAATTATAACTGCATGGAAAGCTTTTTCTATCTATACCTCGGAGGCATCGTGGAGTTTGAAACTTTCCAATCACCAATGGTGATACCTTTTCTGCAGTCATGCTCCCACAAAGCAGTCACGTGACCCTCTCTTTGGATTTCTTGGATCCAGAAACTGTCTTTCCTTTCACACTTAATGTTCTTTCTGAGAGCTGTCTATACTACGAAGCTGTTTCATCTACATTGAAAATATCACATTCAGCATATCCATGTATCAACTATGGTAACCCCGCTCGAAACTCGTCCACTGCATCACGTGGTACCGCTAAACTTTTCCCACAGACCTATAAAGTAACGCACATGAGTTGGTCGCTTCTGACGATTGAATACCTTATCTGTCTGACCAAGAGCAAAACCAACCTTTGTAAGCCTTGAAGTCATTGGGATGCAATCTTTGTGCTAGATGGATTTTCTTGTTACGTACGATGCTCTCTGCCATTGGGAACTCTCCGTGCTTTTCCTTCATAGCAGCAAACCAAGCCAAGGTTGCCTCATTCACTGCCTTGCACTTTTTGTTGGTTCTCAGCTGGCGTCTTCCCTCAGATGCTCCAGCGTTCAAACATTCCCCAATAGTCGTTCCATGGAATATAACATTGTCGACAGTTTTTCGTGAAATTCCAAGTAATTTGGCTACGGAGCTCTGAGTTGCACCTGGCTGTTTCATCATTTCCAACACATTCTACTTCCCTCTGATCGATAGGCGCTTGCGCATTTTGATGTGAAATGACGGTCTCCGATCATTTGCATCGGTGTGACTTGCTCGCAAGAATTATCCAATCAGTGAACAGTGCCACTAGGTGCAATGCCATTGGTTAAGTGCGACGTTTCAGAGTGGATGGTCAACGGTCGTCCCGAACATCGGTCGACGACCAAGTGAGTGCGTATCAGAAACTGCGACCTATTGAGAGGTGCGACATCGCGTGGTCAAACTACGTTATTAAGCATNTGGTTGGTTTGGGTTTTCGAAAAAGTGGGAAGATATCGGAAAATGCGACTTCTCGGGGGTGCAACATAGCAGGAGATTGACTGTATTGTGTTCATCAGGCGAGGGCAAAAGAATAAAAGCAAACGAATGATCAATTTCGGGAGCCAATTATGAGGGTGGATGCAGTTAGATAATAAAACCAGGTTTGTGAGAATTCACTGAGTGAATTTGAATTCAGTCCGAATAAGGATATCATTTGGGGACGGTTATTGCTGCGCACAAGAGTGAAATATGGTGAGGGAAGGACTTAATTCGTGACTTTAGAAATATTATTTTGAAATTAGAAATACCACCGTTTTTTTATCTGACCCAATCCTATAAAATATATTTGGATACTAAACTTTTTCGTTCCGTTCATGATAAATTTATGTATTCTCGTTGTTCTGAATTCATTCAGTACCGTTATTTGTATCGCCACCCTCCTCGGCACAGGACTTGCGCAATCACTTGTTCAATTGGTCCAAAAACGTATGCGATCAAGTGAAGTACTTGCAAAAACTGAATGAAATTTATGTACAACAACTTTTGAAACACCTCTACGTGGTAACTAGCGTCCGTGAATCAAAATACGTCGAATGCCGATTCCGTGAGTGATTGCGATGTATTCCGTTCATTCCCGTTAATTATTTTCTCTCGATAGCAGACTATTGCTCATTACAGATTGATGCTAAGCTTTGCATAGAGGCATTGTGTGAATGCTCATCTATTTGTTTCAGTACTCACATCACTGAAATGCATAGAGCACCGTATTCATGATGATGATGATGATAATCAATGGGGTCGCGGAAATACAGTGTCAAACTCCATCATCATCGTACGACGAAATACTGTAAAGCGAACTTCAGTGACCCTTGCCAAACTCTCAATGCATACAAAGCTAGTGAGACTATGTAAGGTGGACGGAGATTGGGTCTGCTTTCATTGACGGACAAACAAAATGAACCACTTTGGCCACAATGAATACGCCATGTAACTGGGCATACATACCTTTTCAAGCACCGACTTGATAAGAAATGACAACAGGAACGTCACTGCTGTCGGTTCGCTGCCATATCCCTCAGTGACTCCAACCACCCGGTAGCAGTCTTTTGGATCGCAGCCTGAAAGGCGACAGAAAAACGAATGCATACGTCAAATGTGGGTAGTACAGTATGGGGTGAATATACTCTGGCTTTCGATAAATTACTAGCTATCATGGCCCGTCAGATCGCTTAGATTGTGTGTTGGTATTGGTCATAATGTAGTGCAGTGCGCTCAGTTTTACGATCAGCCAAATCCCTGAGTATTTGAGGCCCAATTTATCGATTACTAAGCATTACGTTTTCTTGCGTTTTTCGTATTCGTTCACCGTTACTTTGAAATCATTCTCCATATTCGGTAGCCAACGTACAGGGTATGAAGAAATATAACACTGATTGTCGGATATACGTAGTAATCGTTTGCCGGAATTGTTCTAAGAACTTTTCCAACAAATTGAATTTATGCCACACACACCAGTTCACTCGATCGCATTGTTGATCAATTCTCCTCATGATCGGAAAAATTTGACGCGTGATGTCCAGCCCAAAATGTTGGCGATGGTTAGCTTTGCTTAGTCTTTCTCTTGAATGTTAGAGGCAATCACGCGCTTGCGGTCAGCGAATGCATACGCCTCCTAGTGCATTTCAAGGTCACGGAAACACTGGCAACCAGGTAGGTAGNGCTTCACTGTACAAGCGGTCGTGGATATTCGAAGATAATGTCCTGACAAGTTTTAGCATCCCAAGCTATTTATCTATAAGAAAAAGTCACAAATTCCCATGCAAAGCATTATTTCTTCTATCGGGTTTCGTTGGATGTGTCAATTTACCTCACGTTTCAACGCTTTTCATCTACTGCTGCCTTATTTTTATGTAGGAGTCACTCGAGATCGTCTTTTGTCTGTCCGATCAATATTTTAGGGATTTCACTTTCTTCGTCCCGTAACAGAGGTGTGTGAGCATGTGTTTTTACTTGTCTTCAAATGAGACAAACTGTGTACCATGAAAATCACTGCTCACGCTTGCTATGCCACTTTTCATCTTATTCACACAGTGCTTCCCTCGTGGATGAGTTCGAAGAGTTGTTTGGGTGGTGCCCTGCTGTCCTTTGAGTACCAGACCGCGGTGGTAGATGAAAAAAATCGTAAACTATGCCTTGAGAACGGGACCAAAACGGATGACGTTTTAAACATGCTTGTAAATGAAGCCTATGCGGCAGCCTGTGGTCCATCCTCGTCGGCTCCGTTACAGGGCAAATGGGTTCAATATGGTCTACAAATTGAGATCCTCATAAGGTATGACGTGATGATAGCTATCTCGAATGATTTTGTGACCCTATTTATCCGATTTTTCTTTTTGTCTAGGTCAAAGACACTATAAACGGGTAATAACAATAGAATAAATTCTGTTCTACTGTATTCATGGATCGTGTGGAAACCCGAAATTCCTGTTTACATTGAACAATTTTGTTTTCTTTTAGAAACCTGACTGCTCTGTCCGCTCAAGCGGCAACTGCTGATCCCCAGTCGACATCACAAGCGAATTCGAACACTCAGGCCTCGGTGAAGGCCGTCGGTATGCAGTGTTTCGAGCAGCTTTGCCAAAATCTCTCTGGCCCGTTGTTATTGTTCCCTATCTCAAAGAAAATCCTCGCAAAATGTATCCAACAGCTTGGTAAGTGATGTTCCACTGATCTTCATAGATGAAACGCGTCTGGAATCTTTCTGCTTATGATCCATAATTGCCTCTCGCTTAACCCAGAAAGATCAGCTTTCTCAGCGACCCCAGTGCATTTGTGCATTTTACTGTGTAACTCCTAAGTTCACTGACTCAAACTTATTTCCAGTTTTGTACTGACAAGATATTGAATTTGTTGGTAATAATCAGTGGAATTGATTGCCGCCTGTTTCCACCTACCGGTTTCTCTTGTTTTCCACTATCTCAGCCGATGAATTCCTCACTTCGTTGTCTGCGGCGTACGAACGGGTTTTGGATCTAATGGTTGCTCTACCACATTTGTCTGGGGTTTTGGTAACAACCTTTGNCTTATAGACCCTGTTGCCCAGGTTCTTTATCTACATTCGGAATAAGTATTGAGTAATATCCCAGAATTTTGATTCAAATGGATTCGCTTCCCTCAGGCCCTTTCCTCTCATCACCATCTTGCTATTTAGTCTCGGACGACCTAGAGCCAGTTCTACTGGACACCTTCGGTACTGCACAAAACGGTGTAGCATCTCATAACTAGACTTACAATATACCCATACACATCGTTACGTTCTAGAACCCCCTCCCCGTTGGGTGAAAGTTTTCGAAATACCAGCGTCCTTTTTTAATTATATACCTACATTTTAAGGCAAAGGTTAAAATCTTTCCTTTTAATCTTGCTTTTTTATAAGCGTTTCCCGCCTTTTCACACAGTTCATTCACTCGCGGGCGTTTTGCAAACTTTTGAACTTGCTTAATTTTATCAAAGCATAAAATCCTATATAAGCGTTCATCAGTGAATGATAATGATGATGATGCATGTCCCCCTTAATCAAGAAGAAAATTAAAGCTTTTCCGAAGATACCACTTCAATAGGCCCCCTTTCCAGCCTAAGTTGTATCTTTCACGTATCTTCACATATTAGACATAATTGATCTTATTGTCCGAGTGATACATGTAAAAAAGAAACCTCGATGCATTGAGTGCTCAGTAAGTGAACCACGATTCAGCGTGGTATAGTTGTACACGCCGTTTACTGTAGCAAGTTATGGTATACAGAACCGAGCATCCCCATCAATGCAGAGTGACTATTGTAGAAAGTGTTGAACATCAGTCGTAGGATAAATTCTTCGATGAAGTTGCTGGAAAAATGACGGAGATAATTTTGAATATAGTATAGTCAATCGCAATATCTGTTGGTCCTGTACCTAATCCGTTCTCTCTCAGACAATATACACGATAAATTAGCGAGTTTGCTCATCGGTGTGTGGTGTTTGGTTGATTTCTATCTATAGTTCTTGGTTTAGATAGTAGCAATCGATAATACATTGTTCCGATTACCCAAAGACTACTAACAAAGTCAATTTTTTGCATGGAATAGGGTTATAATTGCGCAATAGTATTTTCAGTTCATTTTTTACACCCATTAACCATGCATTTTCATGCACTAGCTATGGCTGATGTCTTCTGACTGCCCCTTTGGATAAAACAGCAGAGCAGCATGAGGACAAAAGCCCAATCAGAAAACCGGGTCAAATAGACCCCTTTAGTTTTCCTGGATGGGGACCCCGGAATCGTGGTATCCGGTGTTTGGACACTGGGTGATATGACTGAGTACCTCAAACAGTGACACTCGTGCATCTACCCATTGTCTTTGCAACATCAGTCCATGTGAATTCTCTATCTTCTTCAACTCTGCTCGCGATACCGGTTTGCTCGGGTACTGCACTATGCAATACAACAACATGCACCAAACGACTATGTGCACCGTGATCCTGTCATGAGATTGAAAGCAGGCACACGTGAGACTTGATTTCCACACGGCTCATGTGATCGTAGGCGCATGTAGATAACATCAGATTCTGAGAAGTTCGTAGTTGCCTCTGGATCTATCTACCTCTTCGAGTTGATTGTTGTTCCGGATGTTACCGAGGGTTTTTTCTGATTAAAAGTTTAAAGAATACGTACGGCGTGTAATGTATTGTTTCGTGCATTTCATTTTCACCCCTTGAACATCATTCTCAGTAGTGCTTCTGTAACCCGAACGGTGAAATCAGTAAAGTAACTAGTGTTTACCAGTAGCAACTGATGCAGTTAATTGCGTGGACATTTGATAGAAATATAGCAGCATATGGATGAACTTTTGTCAATTGGTAGCGTTTATGGATCATGAATGGTTGAAGGATGGTCCTAGAAATTCGTCGCACATGATTGATTTTCTTTTAAATGGCCTCCCACCCATCGAATATCACCCAGTGTTTTCCCAGCAAAGCCAAACAGTCAGAAGTTACAGGATTTTCGAAGCCATAACTCCCTTCTTACTTAGCCGCGTTCAATGTCCGCACACTCTATCAGATTGGACAACTAGCTGCTTTGGCTAGAACCCTTAAAACTTTCAATTTAGATGTATTCTGCGTCTCCGAAACACGTATATCATACCCTACTTCAATCATTTCCCTGCGTTCTCCTAACCCAACCTCGACCTCACGCCTCACACTTCGTATGTCAGCCGATGCGGTTTTCAAAGCTCGCGCTGTTACTGGTGTCGGGATTGCACTGAGTGTCCAAGCTAAGCACTCGCTTTTTGACTGGATTCCAGTCAGTAACCGACTATGCGCTGTACTTCTCAACGGTTCAGCACAGATCAACAGCTATAGAACGAATGGTCTTTGATCATTCGTCGTATCGGTGTATGTACCGACTGATTAAAGTACACTCGTAATGAAGGGTGAATTCTACGAGGATCTTTCTCAATTACTCCAAAGTGTTCGATCAACGGACATCGTGGTGGTCGCCGGAGATTTCAATGCTCAAGTGGGATCCCTGGACGAATCAGAAAGGCTTCTTGACGGACCGCATGCAATCCCGGCCAACTGGACTGACAACGGAGGTCGCCCACTTCAACTCTGCGCGGACCACGGATTGTTCCTGTCAAACACGGACTTCTCGCACAAGAAACGACACCGCCTTATATGGAAACCACCAGTCTCTTCATTGCACTGGATCCAGATTGACCACAAGGCCATCACTTACCGCTTGAGAGGGCCGATTTAAGACTGTCTTTCTTACTGGATCACACGTGTGGATACGAGCCAAATTCCCTTCCGTCTGGTAAACAACCGCAAGAAAGCCACTGGCAACGGATACCCACGATACAGCGTCAGTGATTGCTTCAAATCGGCCTTTGAAGCGGAACTCCCCGATTGCCTATCAGCTCAATCACCAACCGAAGGACTCAATGAATACTGGAAGCAAATCAAGGAAGCTATGCAAATATCTATAAAAACAATGTCGGCCCGTGCCGCAAGCTCAAAACACAAATGATGGATCTCGTCGACCTCGGCTGTCCCTCAAACGCCAGCTTATCAAGAGTCTGAGGAATGACCGCGATAAATGGTGGATAGGAAAGTGTAAAGAGATGGAGAAAGCTGCAGCTATTGGTAATAGCCCCAATCTTTTCCGTCTAATTAGGAACACGAGCCCTAGGAAAATAGGTGTAAGTGAAGTAATTAAGGAATCCGATGGCTCACTGATTCACCATCAGCTACGCCGTCTTGATTGATGTGCTGAACATTTCGAGGCTCAGTTCAACTGGCCCCCATCGGCATCTGAACTATTACCCTACACATCGACTGGGCAAATACTCCCATTGGTACCAGTCCTCCATCTGAAATGGAGGTTTCCCGGTTAATAGGCTATCTCAAGAGGCATAAGGCCTCCGGCTCAGACGGGCTGTCCTCATCGGCTTTTCAGGATGGAGGCTCAGCCTTGGTTTCGGAGATAACGAAACTCCTGGACTCAGTGTGAGAGAGAGAAGAGGTTACGGTGGAATGGTGTTAATCGGTCATCATACCGATTTACAAGGAACGTGACAGATCCTCTTGTGAAAACCACAAATTGGTTAGTTTATTCAACATTGCCTTCAAACCGCTAGCGGGGATCATACTCCGTTGATTGTCTGCCGCACGTAACCGGTGCACGTGTGCGAATCAGGCTAGTTTCAGACCTGGTCGAGGTTGTTTTGACCACATCTTCACTCTTCGTCAACTCAGACACTCGTTTCGTAGACCCACCATTTCCATCTTCCTCGATTTGAAAGCGGCTTTCTACTCAGTCTACCGCTCTAAACTCTGGCGCTGCTTTTCTCTGAATTTTCAGCTCGCATACAGTAGGTTCGGTTGACATTTGCCAATTCGAGACATCTGTGGCGCCGTCGCGACATCTGAGTAATATGGCTGGGTGTCGTAAACGGTAGCGTTCATGCATCTCAATTTTTCTGTAACATTAGTCCACTGAACTTCTAAAGTTTCTCTTTGATCGTACTTTCAACCTTTCCTGTGTTTCTTCTAGTATTCATCCAAATGAGCAGCCAAAAGACAGCAACCTAAAGCGGCGCACGATAGTGCATGGGTAATGGTTATACAAACTGCAACTGGTCATGTTTGATTGTCGAACAATTGTATCGCCGTCCACCTTCGCGGATGGCCGTAGTTTTTCTCTTGAAATATTAACCGCTACTGTGTATTGAATAAAAAAGTATTGTAGATTCTTATTATGGAAATTCTCATTCCGCGAGATAATCTGAAAGAAAAAGAATGATAGCTTAGGGTTACAGAACTTATACCAAAGTAAGTTTTACTGCATCTCATTTAATACAATGCAGAAGAAAATGACAGTCCCTATTGTTTAGCAGTTCACAACGCGCAAGTTTTATAAACTGTTTTTTGTATCGTGTTGTATTATATCCGTGAGCACTGAGATAAATCTGCCTTAGTATAAATATTGGTAATTTAGTGCTGTCGTTTATTCTTATTAGCTTTCTAACTAGGGAAGTGGTGGCATCTTTAAACATTGCTTCAACACTCGTCAAACTGTGATCACCGCATCACGATCTGTGTGTGCGTGTTTCATTTCCTGCTCTGTATGACTGCTGGCCTTTCAACTAACACAAGTTCATAGGGTTGAGACATGCTCCAAGCGGTTCCTTTTCTACACCACAGTTATAGTCCTATAATCCTCCCCTCTTAGGTCATCGCTATTCGTCTGCAGATACGATTTCGCAACTTGTTTTGTTGGTTCAAGGTTCTCATGTATAGAACCGTTTTATGACCATCCAGGACTATTGCATCAAATGAACAGGGAATATTTGTGTTTCTCGTGTTGTCGATTCCAAAATTGGCTACACCCAGCACTTTGCCCTTCTGTTCGTCTTACATTCTCTTGCTTTTCCATTATCTAGATTGATATACGTTCCTGGTGTACTAATCAACCCGACATAGAATGTCCACTTCCAGTCGGATCACCCGCTCGTTACAAAGCACTTTTGTTCGCATTGTACGGTTGTTTGAAACAGACGACCCAGAGTAGTGCTGATCGTACGCCCCAGGACGAAAAGTTGTATGAGGTAAGTGAACGACGTGCCTATTGATTACGCCTTTTGGCTTTCCGCTGATTTATGTTTTCAAGTAGACTTACCTCAGAACCTTTATTTTAATTTATTGTATTTTGATCTTGCACTCTGGTAGCCAAACATCAAACCAGGTGTTCGGTAACATTCCGATCCCGGTCATGTGACGCTCCCGAAAAAAGCAAGCTAGATGGATAACAGTGACACCTCGATACGATCCACGACAAATTTTTGTACTTCCCATGAGTTCTTGGTTTCATACGTTATAGTCGCTAATAGGGTTAAGTCATGAGCAATTTCTGCAAAGATACAGCTTGGGCACGGGGTGTTTTTACTTTTCCTAAAACACTCGAAAATCAACTATTATCTCTCGAGTAATCTTCCAATATTGAATACTAAGCTTCGCATGCTACCATATTATTAGGATCTTTCTCTTTTCACGTTTACTTCCTTTTATTAAATATACAAAGATACAATCTCCAGGACGGGGGAAGTGGCCAATCAAAGGGCTGCAATACAACACAGAACAGGAATCAGATAACNCCCCGCCGTATCATCCCAACTTCACGGGGCTTGCAAATTCGGTGAGACGAACTATGCAGATGTGACAGAGGATTTCCGAATGGGCTTTAGTACACCAGGGGTATGTATTGACGTAGATAGGGCTTATCGAATCTGTACTATTGTGTATTATGATTGAGTGTCGTTAACAGTGGCACTTGAGCATCTACGCACTGTCTTTGCAATATTCACGGATTCTCCCTCTTCCGTTTGCTCATTCACCCAAATAGGCCGTCATGAGTCAGCATCCAACACGACCGCACGAAAGTGTATAGTTGTAAAAGCTGAGCTCAACTGAATCCGTTCTTTCTGTTTGCTTAGTCGCGATGACTACTGTGGAATTGGTGAAGCCCATTGTCACGAACTCTTATAGTTCACCCCTCGTAACCGGCAAACTAAACTCTTGAACATAGGGTAGCAAACAGTAAACGGCTGCAGTAAAATAAACATGGTACAGAGCTGGAAAATGACAAGGTTGCCTACCAGCGGACCACCGTAACGTGAAATACGGAAGATCGAAAAAAATCCAGAATTAGAGATTGGGTCGAGAGTCCACAATCGCGGTTTTCGACCCAGTGAGCGAAAAATGTTTCTCAACAGACTCTGTGGACCATGCTCATCAGAGTACGTCTCGAGAGGAGCTCTGAGCAGTGAACGTTGTTTACCGAAGCACCGGCAGTGCAGATCGTAACAGGAGGTTTCATAGCTTGTGTTCATATCAGTCATCCCAATTATATTTTATTCTCCAGCCGAGCGCCCACATATATATATATATATATATCACACACGTCTGATGCCAGACTGTGTGCCAAATAAAACGTGGTACAATAATCTTTATAAAAAGATTTACAAGTGGGCCGAATACTGCCAGGTTGCCCAGGCCATGGCACATATATCAGATCCGTCGCGATTTTCATGATTCATATTGAAAAAATTACTCTGGTTCTATCACCACGTTTGTGGGTGAAGTCTCACCTAGGCGAGGGGCCGCTATGTGAATCCCGAAAATCATCTGGACAATTACGCATTATCGAGCATCCGCAACGAACAAATCATGAATTGATCTTTCTAACGAAAAGATCAATACCCTTGATGCGATTTGTTTCACACAGCCTGAATCCGGTTCAGTGTGGAAAAATACCAATCTAAACCTCCCATCCCCAAAACTGTTTGAATTAATTTGAGATCCGTTTACGTGTAGTAGTCCCCTTGTTTTTTATGTCGTATATTCTGTGTTTCTAAGTATGAGTCCAGTCTATATATGACTAATTTAATTCTGACTATGTTCTGCCAGATTGCATTTCCCGTACCACTGCCGATTCTGTTGTCATTTACTTATAGTTTTTCTTTATTTTTGTTAATTCGGTTGCATTTCTTTTTCATTTGGTAGCGATATTTTGAATTTCTGAAGTCCGTGCTTCGAACCAGACTCACTGCATCCATCACTCCTGTCATAGAGATTCTCATGGACGGTAAGTGTGCCCCCGTGATTCTCGTTTACTTCGTTGGTAGAAATTTGCAACCCACGCAGTGAACCTCTTTGGGTCGTGTTGCATCAAATTCTGTTGGATGAAAAACAGGACTATGGCAAATGTACAATATCTGTGGAAAAGGTAAGTGGGCATTCCAAACCCGGTAATTAATTGGTCGGGTTCGTGTGATGTTCAGAATGGTATTTGGTGCATAAACAGTATTCGGCTTTGAAGAATGAATTCTGCCTCCAAGTGACTTTTTACATGCACACATCTCGCACCATTGTCCTATTGTCCATCGTCCTCCTTTGTCCGTGTGTTGTTAATTTCATCTTCCCGTTGAACCGTGCCTATGACTCCACGCCGTTTAAACATACGCACGCATTATTAATATCTTGACTATCCTCATGATATAGCATTGAGGAAACGAGTCGGTGAGCGAACAATTGTTTTCAGATATTCCTAGTCATGCTCTTACATATCATATAGTGGAAAGAATCCTTACATAATCATAGCCATTGGCTCATTTTAAAGTCAATATTCGGAGGTAGAGTAATGGCATATAAGCGCTTTGAGGGAACTCAAAAAGAACAAAGACATCATGCTGCTCAAACCAGATAAAGGCACCGGGTTGGTTATTATCAACAAAAGTGATTATGTTCGAAAGCTCTCTGAAATAATTTCGGATGACAAAAAGTTCTGTAGATTCAGTAAAGAAAAGGTGGAGGGTGAAATCACAGGTCTACTAAAGGCGCTAAATTTACAGGGGCACATAGACAATGCTGCGTACGAGAGACTGAAACCATATGGGTCCATCATCCCTCGACTGTATGGTCTCCCGAAGATCCATAAAGAAGGAGTTCCAATAAGACCCATTATGGCAATAGTAAATTCACCATATCACGCAGTGGCGCAGTGGTTGGTCGAATTATTAGAACCCATTCGTCGTAGACTCGCCACACACAGTCTCCGAGACAGTTTCCAGTTAGTAGGCAAAATAAAAGACCTGGACCTGCAAGAAAAGACGATGTTTTCGTTAGATGTGGTCTCACTGTTCATTAATGTACCCCTGCTGGAGACAGTGGAATTCATTTGTGATCAAATAAAAGCACTGAATGTGGACGTTGGCATTTCGGTCTCCAATCTAAAGGAACTGCTATTACTCTGCACACGTAACGTCCAGCTTTTATTCAACGGTACTATCTATTGTCAGATGGACGGGGTAGCTATGGGATCGCCACTTGATCCTTTGCTAGCTGACTTCGTGGTCAAACTGGAAAGAAGCAAGCGGCGAACTTTCAGGATAGTTCTGGAGGTTAACTTATTGTTGATTTCGGTTGAGTATCCTGCTGATATTATCTTCGTGAACACTCCTTAGTTTACTCAATCAATCGTACAGTCGAGAAATTTCGGACCCGAGTTTCACTTTCATACGCACGCGTTAGAACTGTATCAATTATCTTGAGCCAAGACTGTCTGGAAATACCAATTTAGCTTTCTTCAGATTTGTTTATCGAAAATCATTCAGTGTGGTCTGACGACAACAACGAATGGGGACAGATGTTTGCTAGATTGATTCTCCATTTTTTGATCGATTTGACCTCTAGCCTACAGTTCCTCTCGGAATACAACATAAAATGAAACATAAGACAGAGAGTCATGACTTTCGAACTGGTCGTCGATAAACACATTAGTGTTTTTGTTGGTATCACAGTAAAGTAAGCGTTGAAGCCGAAAAACTACATACATGGGCCAAAAATGTGCCAGCAACACGAAATTATATATTCCTGGGTT